GTATGTATGTATGTGTTTGTGTGTGTGTGGAGTATATATATATATATATTATATATATAGAGAGAGAGAGAGAGAGAGAGCGAGAGAGAGAGGGAGGAGAGAGAGCTTTTACAGTAACAGCAACCACTCGACCAAAACGAACGAGCGGGTCGTGAAACTAGAGTACAGGGCTGCTAAAGGAACAGCTTCCTCACAGGTTCGGGAATTGCTAAGCGAGTCACCTCAGGACTTCGCCGGAAAGATGCGATTTAAATCTACGGTGTTCGATGGCTTATGATCCAGGTGAAACAGGTTGAAGGCAAAGAGTTTCAAGGTCGAGCGGTCTGAACAAGCAGGGACCCCACATGCTCTCAGTGGGATGAGGCCAGCGTAAGCAGGCAACACCACGCAGTCAACAAAGGCAATAAGGATGTTTGTGCCAGCCAGGCGGCAGAACGTCAGGATAGACTGAACCACACTGAAACACAATTTCGGGCTACATGATTGGAAAAAGTGTGTAAAAATGCCAATGAGCGGACGGAACCAGCATTGCCTGGAGCTTCGTACCTAAACCCTAACACATCCCTTTTTGCTGCAGGCTTGTATGTACGGTGATGGCTTTAATTTTCTCAGGGGCCATAGTTCAACGCATGGAACGGCGTTCTCAAGCACTTGCGCCGGACTCGTCGAGAACAGGTCGGGATTATCAGGCGCAAGGGGTGGATTTCAGGCACGCGGAAAAGATTTTTCAGACACGCGCAATGGATTCCCTAAACAAAACCTGCACGTGTGAATGATAGTTCCCCCGCATGCTCTTGATAATTCATGCGCATTTCTTTGATACATCGCGAAGCTGTCTCTGATAAACTTTATTTCCGAACCATGACTCCCTTTGCATGCAAGAACGCCTCTCCTCCGATATCCCTAAACTAAACCCTTATCAAGGTGCCTCCACGAATTTGGCCCAGGCACCTTCTTCCCAGCGGCACGCAAGGCCTCCAACAGCAAGACCGAATCTCAAAACTCTGAATCTATGAACCCTGGCTCGGAAACCTCCAAAGGAACGAATGAGAAAAGCATGGGAATACATCTGTTAATTAGCCACTCCGCATCAAGGTCCAGAGAAGACTTTTCAGCTTGCTCCGGGTCGCTGACCTCCACAGCTTCTCCAGCGCCCTGCACCGGAGTGCCGGCATTGTGGATTACACCGTCGATGTCCTCAGTTAGGATTTGACTCTCACGCTAATTAGGCAGAACCAGGCTGGGTTTCCAGCACTTATCTGGGCACAGCCGCGGGAGGTTCCGGAGCTTATGTTTTCGGGGTTGTCTGAGAATTAAGCCTCAGGTCTACGCGTGCATCCCGAACCCCGAACCAAGTACTGGAGCCTACCAGGAATAGCAAAGCTGCGAAGATGAAGCACTTCATCCGACGAAGCCAACCCCTGCAGGCCCATCAGCTGTCATGCCAGCAAGACACAGCTCACGCAACAAAGCGAATCAGGGAAGAAAGCTGTGAACCACCTGTAGTCGTACCCGGCTCATAAAGACGAAATCATTATAGTCATGGACTCCTTCGCGGGCATGCTCGAAGCTGGTGTCTGGAGTTCAGGCTCACAGAAGTAATGAGACGGTCTTGCACAGGGCTGGCGGCGTGTCAAGAATCCCGTGTGCAGCCCGAGTGCAACACCCGAAACCAACAACCTCTAAGGACTAAATTCTCGGAGCCCAAAAAACACTGAAAGCCTCAACCCCTAAACCCTAAATAAATGAACCCCAAAATCTCAAAACTTCTACAAGGTTGGTTTGGGGCATTGGGTTTTTTTCAGCGAAACTCACCCCGCGGCCTGTGCTTCTCATTCCGCGCAGAGAGGCGTGTGGGCGTGATTCGCCGGCGCCAAAGGAGAAGTCCCAGGCCTGGCTAATAACAGTATGCTTATTTTAAAAATGTGTACACACACATATACATGCATACATATATATATATATGTACGTGTGTGTGTGTGTTTGTGTGTATGTATGTGTGTGTATGTATGTATGTATGTATGTATGTATGTATGTATGTATGTATGTAGGCTTAAGGCGCAACTGGGCCTAGAGTCTGGAGCTTGTTGCTTAAGTCTTTGGGCGTTCGCGTCCTGCATGATTTGGGCTATGCCCGCATCGCAAGGTGACAGTGCAGTGGGATCAACGCTTTGATCAGTACCCTGCAGACTTTTCAAACCCATCATCAGGCATGCGAAGCGGGTTGGCTAGGCCTGCTTTGAAGCTTGGAAAAGTGTGAACTATCAGGGTGAGAGGAGTCGATGGCGTAAGGGCTTGAGGCTCTGCAGGGCTTAGGATTCATGTCTTAATGCCTTAAAATGTAGGTCCCTGCAAACAAAGTACCTAACAAAGTACCTAAACAGTGGCAGACAGCTAAAAAGGGTCTACAGTCTACAGCCTATGGTTCTATTTGTTCCTCCCTCCCGCCCAGCCAACCAAGTCGCGCCCCATGTTTTCGCGCCGCAGCAAGAATGCAGCCGCAATGGACATTGACATAGCGGTAGTATCGGTAGCAACGGTAGTAGCGACATGTAGAAGCTGTCCAGTCCTCTGAGAATCACCAACACCCCTTTTGCATCGGCCCTGTCGCGCATTTCCCCGAGCAAGAACGATGCAGTTGTGTTTCATCCGTTTCTGTGCAAGTCCTTGTGTCCGTTTCGGTCTGAGCCTGTTGCTCAGGCTTGAGGGTCCGGGCCTGTCAATTAAAGGCTTTTCTGCCTATTCGAGGCTTGGGGAGACGATGACACCGCAATCCGAGACTAACCTCGCACTGCTACAGTTTCCAGCTCTGAGTTGGCGTGGTGAGTAAACTTGCGCGGACCTCATGTTGTGTTGTCGTCAAACGAAAGCCTTCACCCTCAGCTTGTGGACAACACACAACACACAGACACACCCCAAACTGGCCCCCGGCTCCCAACCAAACAAATGCCAGATCAACCCTGAACCCTTGCCCTAGCCGCCCTAGGCTTAAGCCCCAAAGCTGCTTCACCTTAAGCCCCACGCAAACCATACAACGCTCGCTGTGCAACTGGGCTGGATTCAACGTTCTCAAGGACGATGGAGCACAAACACATGGAAGATCACCCCGAAAAGCTGCCGAGGGTCACTCCAAGACGTTCACCCGCAACGCTTGATCCAAAGCAATCGTGAGATATCGTGAGCAGCTACCCAAGCATCGCACCGAATGAAAAGATCAGAGACATGAACTCCCAAAGCCCAAGCAGGGGCTGACGTCGACTGGACTTGCTGAAAAAAACCAAATCATCCCCCAAACGCAAACTCCGCCACCTGCTCCAGCAAGTGCCAGCGCAGCACCCACTGCCGGACCCCGCGCAGCTTTCATGGCGGATCAAGTTCAGAGTTTGCGTTTGACACCGCAGAGTTTAAAGCTTCTGGTTGGCTCAGGACTTCAATTATCAATCTGATGGGATCGGAAAGAAAAGAGATTTGCTGGCTGCTGTCGCGCCGGAACAGCAGTCAAAGGGAGCTTTCCAGCCGTTCGGCATCAGAGGGGATGCTGATGGACATCAGGCTGAACTAAATTATGTTTTCAAGAACCTGTTATGTCATCCATGCCCTTCACGTCCAACGCTTGCGACCCCTCCTACATCATTTGCAGGGCGGCACCTGCCTTGAGCACAGCTCATGCTTATGCGGTCGACGGCAACAAGCAAGCTTGCGGGCATCGCTGAACTGTGATACTGTGCTAAAATGGCAGATTATGGGGTAGCCCTGCTGGAGAATGATACCATAAAGCCATACCATAAAAAGCTGCTTCAGCTACTGCAGCTCCACCACACTCGGTCAAGCGGCCATGATGCACGTTGCCAGTATCACTCGGTGGACTGCAAGTCTCTATAGTTACAGGCTTGTGCTTGGGAGGGGGGTCTGCAAAAGTGTGCAGAATTGCGTGCGCATCTCCGATGAACTGTGGGCCTGCAGGCTGACGAAGTGCGAAATCCCAAAGACCCATGATCAGGTCATCGGTAGCAGGCTGTGAACTCGCCCCGGGGTCCTCCAGCAAATGGCTTCCGTAAATCAGCAGCCTCAGAACAGGCACAAGCTGTTTGCGCAGCCAACCAGTTCAGCAGATATGAGGTCAAGCATGTGGTTGCACACAAGGGGCTCCAGACAATTGGCTTTCTGGACAACACGCGGGGCACAAGCGGCCAAAAGCGGAACCAGGAAAACCACATGCAAAAGTGAAGTATCGATGCCCACATCCGAACAAGCAGCCGCACCTTCCTTTTTACGGCTCTGCTACATGTCGTGAGACTCGGAAACCTGGAACGGACATCTGGCATGCATTCCTCTTTCCGTGTGTGGCGGCAAGGTTTCAAACAATCAGCCCGAAGCCAACCCAAACACCTTGCTTGCAGCATCGAAGTACGTTCTGCCGCCTTGCGTCCTCATGAACAGCCAAGGACGCCGTTGAAGAGATCCCCGCCCTAGAGAGTGAACAAGCAACTAGTAGGTGCCTGAAAGGCCGAAAGACTTTTAAACCCAAAATCGAAACTCCCAGAGTCCTGACCCCATAATCGGTAAATGTCTTGCCCTTCGAAGTTCAGGATCAAAAATTACGAAGAAAATAAAAGGCCCAGCAACTTCTTGGGAACGCAGCCGCGGATGACGCAGGTGCCTGGGAAGAACCCATCTTCTGGTCCCGTGCCAAACCCAGGAACTCCGTTATGCAGCTCTCTCAACCAGTCGCCAGGTGTTGTAGGGCTCGCTCCCCAAAACCCGAAACCCAATTCAATTCCCACCGAAACCACACCCGAAAAAACTCCTGTGCTCGGCTTCGGGCCGCCCAGTCCCCCTGCTGTGAGCTTCGTGCTAACAATGGCAAAAGGGAGTTCTGCAATAGCCACCTGTTTCAGGATTTTGGGTTTAAGGTTTCAGCTTAGCATTTGCCATGGGCTTCAGGGCTGAAGCACGTGACCTGTCCTTGAAGTTAAGGCCAGTTCACTCCTGCATACTACCACCGGGTCACCGCTGCCCTCACCACCTGAACCACAATCGAATCATCATCTCCTGCTTCTTCTGCATCTTCTAATCACCATCAGAATCACAGGCAGCACCATCAGCATCAACATCAACGTGGTAATGCTTGCCTTCGTCATCCGTCGCTCACCCAGCATTTGTCATTGTTGTCACTGGCATCATCACCATCATCGCCATCATCATGTTCATCATCAGCGAGTAGCCATCAAATACAAGGCAATGAGCATGAATCATTGCTCCACCGTCGCCACCATCATCATTAACATCATCATCAGCTTCACACAGCCTTTCAGCAATGTTACCTTGACTGTCGTTGCACTTTTTTGTTCTTGTTGCCGTCGCTGAGATCCAATTCGCGCCGAGAACTTCACGAGTGGCTTTGGAACTTGGGAGCTAGTGCCCGAAGTCGCGCTGAAGTCGGGGGGGGGGGGGGGGTAGGTTCGCGAAAGATCCTATACGTTGCAGTAGCAGTAGCAATTATTCTCAGGCTCTTCATTCTGAGATCCACTCCCAACGAAAAAAGGCGCCAAGCACAGGAACACGTCCTTTCTTCGAAAACCTCGGCCTTCAACTCATTCCATCATTCCACCAATCCGTAAGTTCATAAGTCTTTAACTACTCACAAGATACCAATTTAACCAATTACTTTCCCAATCGAGACTCGAGACGCATTGCTCGCGGTTGCAAGGGGTTTGGTGCCAGGATGGAAGCCCGCAATTGGGCACATGCGGGCAGAATCTGACCTGAATCGGTTGCACCTCCTTCGTATTCCCTTAACTTCCAGGCCAGCTCTGCAACCTGAAACCACAACGTCCCCCGACTCCAAAGGTCTACAGTGGAACCCACCTTGGCGCCATACTGCATGGCGGCCCACCGCGACCCTCGCACGCCCCCACTGCCACCCCCTATGGTGAAGAGGTCGAAGTCGTACCTGTAGGGCTTGGGGACTACCATGTTGGATGTGACGTACTCTAGGACAGCGGATTGGGTTGTATGATGGGCTGCCATTGAAGACAGCTCACGGCTTCGCTCGGTCGGCAGTTAGGAGGGTGACACACCTCCATGCGGATTCGCAGGCCCGAAGCATTGACTGAAACTTGGGGCATGTCTAGGGCTAGGGGTGGGCTAATCAGCTTTGGAGCCCCGAAGCCTGTGCGTTTGATTGGGACTCTACCTACAGAGCGGGTAAGAAGGTACCTCAAGAAGTACGCATGGATTATGTTATGGGCTTCTTCAAAACCAAAAGCCCGTTGCTCAGTGCAAGGTAGCCTTATGGCCTTCTGGGATCCCAGCATTTCATCGTAAGCACAATCTTTCTAGCCCAGGTTGAAACGGCTGTCAATCGTATGCTCGTGGAAACAGAAGAGGAGAAAGCCCCGGCCCAGGATGC